ACTCCAGGTGTGACCTCTCCAGGGCTGAGTAGAGGGGCAGGATCACGTTCCTCGACCTGCTGGCAATGCTCTTCCAAATGGACCCCAGGATACCATTGGCCTTTTTGGCCACAAGGGCACACTGCTGGCTCATGGACAGATTGTTGCCCACCAGGACCCCCTTCTCCACAGTGCTGCTCTCCAGCAGATCAGCCCCCAGCCTATACTGGTGCCTGGGATTATTCCTTCCCAGGTGCAGGACCCTGCCTTTGCCTTTTTTGAATTTCAGACAATTCTCTGCCCATGTCTCCAACATGTCAAGGTCCCTCTGAAGGGCTGCACAGCCCTCTGGGATATCGGTCACTCCTCCCAGCTTTGCATCCTTAGTGACATGGTTGAGGAGGCATCTGCCCCTTCATCAGAGTCATTGATGAATAAGTTAAATAATACTGGGCCTAGTACTGAAACTTGGGGGACACCACTAGTGACAGGCTTCCAAGTAGACCCTGTGCCACTGATTACAATCCTCTGGGATCTGCCATTCAGCCAGCATGCCATCCACCTCACTGGCCACTCATCCAGTCCACACTTCCTGAGTTTGCCTTTGAGAATATTGTGAGAGACAGTGTTGAAAGCCTTGCTGGACTCAAGGATATTAATTTAAATATTTTCTTTGGTACGTTCTTTGCTTGAGAACTTGGTTTAACTAATTTTAATGATGAATTTTTAAATCTCTTAAATGAAAAAAGTTAGAATGGAAACTTAAAAGTTGCACTGTGAATCACAGTTATCTTATAGATGTGCTGTTGCAAGAAAGTGATACTTGCTTGATTCCTAAATAATTTGCTTGTCCCAAGCTGATGATGCAGCTGCTTACTGAGACTGCTGAATCATAACTGACTTTTTGTTACAGTCCTTTGTGCTACAGAGGTGATTGCTAAAAGTGCCAGCAGTGCTCTCTGAACAGAATGCCACACCTATCCATTTGCACTCCGGTCACGACAAAACACAGCCATTACCTAACTGATTCTCCTTGGTTCTTTAACCTGCCTGCAAACTGAATATAAAATGTTCATGGACCATTCTAAGAAACTCCAAAATACTGTTTGCAGCTGGAAAAAATCAGACCAAACTAGTCACAGTATTAAAGGAAGCTCTATTAAAAATGCAAATATGGTCAGAGCACCAGATGGTGTAGCTACAGTGATTTTCTTTGAAGATCCCTTTTGAATCCACACAAAAAGGCTGAACAAATGGTTCAGGTAGGAGTCTGAAACCACCTTTGTCAGTTGAATTCCTGAACCCAAACTCGTGCAAGTTCCAATTTAGTGAAACTGTGTAATGACAGAAATGTCACTGTGCTTGTGCCTGTTAAGTCAGAGGACCACCATGTTCTGGGATCCCATGTCCTGGCACGCAGGGAGGAATTCAACTTAAGGTTAAGATTCACCATGCTGCCGGGTTAGCATCCATCTTGAAATTCAGTGGGATTGCCCTTCCCTTCAGAAAGGCCTAATGTGCTAATGTTCTGTAATTAATGCTAAAATGCTGTGCAAAAAATCTGCAAAAAAATTCTGTGGATATATTCTCTGCATATCCTACAGAAGAGTGAGATTTTATTGATGTATTTCTTATGGCTTTTAGAGAAACACAAATAGCAAAAAACAACCAAAAGGAAATAGGAAACTAAAGAAAACGAATAATAAACTGAGATACACCTAAAAGAAAATGCAAATAATATTCTGAAGCCTAATTTCATAGGTAACTAGCTAAGAGAAAATGGCTTAGTTAGAATTGTTAAAAGGGAAGTAATAGTCAGAAATACCACAAAGCAACTAAAATAATCCAGTACAACAATTCACAAGTTTTTAGGACTTGCATAGGACTTTGAAACTTGGGGGATTTGCTTTCTAAACATGCCTTTCCTAAAACAAACAGGCAAAATTAGTTATTAGTCACTGCAGTTTTGTGCAGAGGTCTGAAATGAATGAATAATTATGTGGTGCTTCCACGTCATAAAGTGGAATCGGTTTTGACATCTGTGTGTCTATTTATATTCCTTTATTTGCAATTGCATGTAAATTGAACATTGACTGCTTTTGGCAAGCAACAACATCCTAAGATATCTCCAGAAAAAAAATATTCATCTTTTTTCTGCATTTGATTGTCAGAATCTGTTTTATAAATCTGTTATGCATGTTTACAGCTTGCTTTACTTTTGCTCTGCACCACCGAACAACTTCACTAACACTAAGAGTGTTTCATATGTGTACACTTTTCAATTTATGGGGGGTGTGGCAGCAACAAATATGCATAAGCTTTGCAGATCTTGAACAATAGATAAGAAGGACATAGAAAACCGATGTCATGATACATAGTGTGTGATACACTAACGGCTATTTAGTGATGGGGAGGCAGAACAAAGGTTTTGACAGCTCTCTCATTTCATAAAGCGTATGTGATCCTCATGCCAGGTCACAGCTCACTAAAAAGATATCTAGGTTAGTCAAGTGTTACATAGCTAGCTGAAACCGTGTGTAGAAACTTGCTGCTAAAAGACAGACAGGTGAAATCCCAAGGGAAGGTAAAATGCTCACTTTAAGGATTATTTGTTAAGGGCAAACATAAGCTGAAACAGCTTGAAAGGAAACCCATGGCATGATTTTGGCTATGCCTGAATTTGTACAGAAGCTCTGTTCTCTTCCTAATTCCAGTCTCCATATCCCTTGTGCTGGTGCTGTAGGATAGGATGGGAAAATCTGTGAATATTTAATGCAGAAGCTGCACAAGGGGAAATTCTCCCTTGAGTAAAGAAGGGCATTTGCAATCATTGATGCAATCATTGATACAATCACAGTTGGGCTTTCTAGGGCTCATTCCTTTGTGAACTGCATCTCCCGCATGCTCCTTTAAACAGCATGGAAAAGGATTAGTAAAAACCTTTGTGGAAACTATTTAGTAGTGAAAAGTACTGCTTTTGGCAGTGGGGATAATACTTCCAGATATTCTTGAGTGTGTTATTCATTATATATTTGAACTAGAGGGAAGTTTTAGATAAAATACTCATAAGGTGTAGACAGCTGAAATATCCAGGCTGCTCCTGTGCATATTTCCCTAGTATTATTTTGGCTAACAGCTCCATTTGGGGCATTTTATTTAGAACACAAGTGGTATTTATCAAAGGGATTGACACACTGAAGATTAATCTGTCCTTTATTTTCTTTTGCTGACTTGGATGAGAGAAAGAGAACATTTTTAGGCTTAAAACTACACACAATTTGATGGGTCAGCACAAAAGTCTCTACCTTGTCTTCTTATTGAGATAGCCCCAAATATGAAAAAATACAGATGCTCTTGTTCCCTAGGCAGGCTCAATACAATGTAAAGAATGTTGTACTGGAAAGAAGCTGTGAATCTGAGAATTCAAAGTTTCTTTTAGTGATAAATTTACATAAATTTACTGAAGCATCATGTTTTGGACTGCCACAACACATAAAAAACTACCCATTATTTGAATGAGAAGGGCAAGGCCCACCACTAGATCTTTCCCCACAAGATATAGGGTGGTGAGTCTGCCTGGGCAGAGATATAATTTTTATAACTGGGAATGTTTTTCAGTAATATTTCATGAGTGATTTATTGAAATCAAGCTAAAATAAATAGTACAGAGAGGCTGCTCGATGGTTCTAAGCACTCACAGTGCCACCAAGAAAGCCAGTGCCACCATGAAAGCCAGTTAAGTGTGTGAACCGCACAAGATGCTAGTAGTCCAAATAGAAATTATTGCATTTTGCTCCTACAGGTAATGCATGAGACAGCATATTCTCTAATGAGATACTATGTGCTGTAATAAAAAACCCCAGAGAATGAGGTTTGAATTTCTTATTTTGAGCTGTGTATGATTTTTGCAGGGGATACCATAAATAAAGCAGTTTAATTCAGGCAGTCCCAAAATCTGGATGGTGCAACTCTGATAGTACACAGAGCTATACTGAGGGAAGATACTAATCTCACAATTTAGTCAATACAGTTTTTGTCCCCACCACTAATCCCATTACTTGATTGTGTGATGCTCTTTTAAGGCAAATCCTTCTTTCTGTCTAGCCAGCTGTCAGGCAGGCAGCACAGGCGGCCTCCTTTTTCTGCTGTGGTTAGTACAGTAAGCCTTGTCCTGTGGTGCTGAAATCATGGATATTTCCCCCTTATAGCAAGAAATTCATTCTTTTATTCATAGCACATTTTCATTATTAAGAAAAAATATGATTCATAAAATATTACCCTTTGGCAATATGCAGACTTTAATATTAATGCCATTTTATTAAAAAAAAATTTCTCTAAAACAGAAAAGATTAAACTCAAGCATGAATAAATACGAGTATCTGCCTGGAAGCTATATCTGTGCCCTTCATCTCCCATCTTTTGACATCCTGTGAACATCTCCAGAAAGTTATAAAACATTTTCTCTTGAGCAAAAAGCCCCTCATGGATATGGATGCGTTCGGTAGTCTTTGAGAAATGTCTAGAGGTCTTGTAATTTCTCACTTTCACAGCTCCAAGCTGGCTGTATTCCACAATCAGGTTTTAAACAATAATCAGACAGTCACTCAAATAATTGTTACTCAGTCCTTTTGCCTCAGAAACTATCCCTTCCATGAGATTCAGCCTGTTCTGTTGACTGATAAGAAAATGTGCATTCAAATTGGTCCTGCTTATAAAAACTATGACTGACAACACTGTGCAGTTTGAGAACTGCAAGCCTTAGGTTATTCCTAGGTTCTTTTGAATCAGCATGAAACATCCTTCTGTGCTGAGACGTCCAACCCTATAATTTTAAGCTTCCATTTTATTCCTGGCAATCTTATCTCTGAAAGGCAGAATAACTGCAGTAATTGCACATCTCATTTCAGAAAAATAAAGAAACATTCATTTTCCATTGTAATGGTTTACTGGAAACTGCTTCACAGGAAATGAAGAGACTGATGATGAATGAAAATGAAAACCAGCAACACCCAATTACTCACCCGTGCTAGGCTGGTTCCAGAAGGGACTTTATATGGGACATACTTCCTGTAGATATGTCCAACTCGAGAGCATGGAACATCATACATGCCACCTCCACACATCCACACCTGAAAAGGAGACAGAAAGCAAGTGAAAGAATGATTCCTTGAAAAAAATGAAGCAAAAAAAAAAAAGCATTTTAAGTAATATGTATGTGAAAATGATACATCGTTCTGTACTGACCCCTCCCACAGTCATGGTGGCCTTCTTGGCATGCTGGTAGGTGGGATGTGGTAACATGACAGACTGTCCTAACCTGAATCTCACTGTAAAAAGCAGAGTATGTTCAAAATAAAATTACAAAACATACTTAGATTAGAATAGAATGGTTTAGGTTGCGTTGGAACGGTCTTTAAAGATCATCTAGTTCCAACCCAATCCAGTATCTACCAATGGTCCTCCTGCAACACAATCAAGGCATTATTGTGTCTGTTGTTTAAAACCTATGAGATCAAAATTTTAAAAGAAGGCTATGTGATTAAAGCAAATCATAAATCAGAAGTAATATTTTTTTCCGAAATACATGGCTTATATTTTGAGTAGTGAATACAGAGCTCAAGTATTAAGATGCTCTTCATTATGTAAAGATGCTTTTCATTTTGTAAAGAAAAGGGAACAAAAATCAATTTCCTTCTGATCTAATTTATGCAGGCAGAGAAAGAACATGCTACTACGTTTCCTCATTAACACTTTAAAACCAAAACAGACAGAACTATCTGGAGTACACAGGTCTGATGCTTCAGGTCCGAGCAACCAAAGCTCAGTCAAAACTGGTGGGAGCTGTAAGCAAGTACTTCACAGTCCTAAAAATCAAGCTGTATCCTGATGGACAGCAAGTAATGAATTTTTCACAATTCTTCACCTAGGATGACTAGGCTTTATCAAGTTTATGTGAGAGCAAGGTTGTGTGCCATGTCAGAAGAACTATGGCAATCATGCCCACCAATGGACATGATTTCCTATGCTCCAGCAATGCAGAGCTCTAACATGGCTATTAGATGACTTATGTAGCATCCTGACAACATTCATAACTTTATAAAGAAAATAAATGTGACTTTGCAAATCAGGGAAATGTAAAACAATAACCCCCCAAGCAGAACCTTTTAAGTATCCTAAAACCACACAACAAGAATTTGAAATTAATTCAGAATGAAAACATCAGTATTATAAACATTGTTTCCTAATCCTGGATAACTAATTTTTTCCCTCACAAATTCAGAACAGAATGACTGTTATTCCACGTAAGGGACACCTGGTTTCAGCTTTCGGCCTTTCAACTGAAAACAAAAAAAAAATCTCAACCCCCTCCCACCCAATTAAAACAATAATCAAACCAAAGCTGAGAAAGAGAGAGAGCTTTTCCTTTCTATATCTCTTCATGTGGACATACATAAAGATGCTTCACTAAACATCTCCATGAATTTGGATGAGAATTTAGGTCCATGCACTACATATATGAGGGAATTTTAGCTGTGTTTGATGCACTCTGGAGCAAAATGACGTGAAATAAGTTTGTGACTGAGACCAAAGCAGAGCAGAACAGGAGTAACTGAAAACAACTGAAAGTTTCACCAACATGTTTCATACAGAAAAGAATTAAACCATAAGTTAACATGCTCTGAATTGAAACAATAGTAACCAGACCCTTAAAAAAAGGTATTGGAAAACATGACGCAATCACATATACTCGACATTCTGCATGAAGCCTGCAGAGAACAATGTGCATCTCTGCACTTTTTTTACATTTTATATTCCATCTCTTTTGTCCTGCCCACCAGCTGGCTGTAGCTACTGGCTTTTTGAAATCACGGGAAAACAAAATTATTAATTCCATTAATTTAAAACATTAGTGAAAATGGGCAAGAGTTTGGCCTCTTTCACTGCGCTTGCCTGATTGTGTTACAGTGGGTATAATATCTGCTTGCTCCTGAAATTCAGCCCCTCAGACTGACTGTGCTATTCATACTGTGAATGGAGAAAAATGGGTTAGAGTGAAGACTTGAGTTGCAAAGTGATTTAGGTAGCTGCTTCTTATGGCTCACTTGTGTATTAGCCCTTAGCTGTTAGCCATGGCATCCAGTTGAGACCTGGTAAAGAAATGCTTGAGGATCTAACAAACCTAAATACACTAGTGTAAATGTTCAAGGAAGGCTTGAAACCAGCAAAAGTGGGGCTTTGTCCTTAAGTTCCATGGACACCCATGTGCAGTCAGGTAGGAGCTGCTGCTTACTACTTCCCATCACAGAATTAACTAAGGCATAGGAGCTCTGGGTAGGTGCTTCTGGTACATGGTAGCATCTCAGCAGAGGAGACAAATTTTGCATGTTAGTAGTATGGCACAGCACAGACAGCTGTCCTGGGTATCACTCTGCAAAATGGAAGCCTCTACGCTGATGAAATGAAGAGTATTTCGGTACCTATTTCTGCGTTGAGGACATGTCATCTGGTCTCCTAGTGAGCACAGTCCTCAGGGAGGAGATTTACTGGCGGGAATGGAGACCCAAATGAATGCTCTGCCTCCATGCCAAAACAGCTCATTAGTATCTAGAGCAATCTTGCATGTAGTCAGGGCATGTGGACATGAAGATCATTTGCTTTAAAAAAAAACCATTTTGTAAAATGCGCCTCCTAAATAAATCTTGAAATCTTCACCTGTTTCATCTCATGTCAGCTAATTCACTGGAAAACATGTGCATAAACATAGTAAAATATCACAAAAATTACAGTGCTAAAATAATGTTGTTCACCTTTCTAACAATACTTCATTTGTATGTTACATCACTTGTACTTTTTTTAATGGGAACCTCCTCTCTGTGGCTATCTTCAAACAATCCACTGCACCAATGAAAGTACAGACCTATACTTAGGATTTGCTCTTGTTTTTTAAATGAAGGTGTCATTTCAAAGGCTAGACAAGTTATTACAGTGATTAATCAAGGCTTCTTAGTCTTTATAAAGTGGGCAGCATAGCAGTTTGACTCAAAGGTCAACCCCTGAATAAATTTAAAAGACAAGAAAGTAGAAAAAAAATATATATACAGGCAAGTATTACTTTAACTGAGGCAATGAGAGCTGAAGTAGACATATACTACATTTCCTCTAAAGCAGTAGCATAGCAGTTAAAAAAAAGGAGAAAAGGAATTAAAAAAAACCCCAAAAAGTCAGATATGCTGAGGCAATAACAAGTGGGAGGAAATAACACAGTGTTAGGCTTATATTTGATAGACATAAAACCTGAAAATGCTGTGCTGCACCTGAGGTATGCTGTGCAGGGTAATTTAAATGAATCTTGGGTTGCCTTGAAGGACATTTAGCAGCTGTTCCTGTTTATCTTTCAGCTTCAGAGTGATATTAAAAGCATTTTTTATATTTTCCTGGGAAGATCAATTCTGGCAACTTTGCCTTTAAAATGTGCATTTTTATGTCACATGTGCTAAATGCAAGAAATTGGAGAATGACTTCTGTGTTAAATATTACAGACCTCCAGTGTACCGTGCAAGGAATTCAGGTGGTGTGGGACATTTGGCAAAATGATACCAGAAGCAATGAAATTCTCAGGATCGCAAATGTCTCCTTCTTACAAAAGTGATGAATCTGGTCTGCAGCTGACATATAAAAATTGAAGATGAAACAAAAATAATGCAATTCCAGTTTGGAAAAATCAAAAGTAGAGTAGTTTATGTGTCAACTAAATACTATCTCACAATTTATCTTTATATAGCTCCTTCCAACAGAATGTTGCCAAACACTTTATAGGGATGGTTGAAAGCAAAAGGCAGGCATTAATACAAGCTTTAAAAGAAATTAATCTGTGGTTATGTGGCTTTGTTCCTGACTGGAGCTCAGATGTCACAGATGCATTTTTTGGCTCTGTTCTACAGCTCCTGTGGGATTTTGGGTGAATCACCCTCTTTTCACATCACTTTTAAAGACATCTTTGTCTTTAAAATTGAATTCTGCCTTCTCTTGTGGTTTCCCCTCCTGCTGCCTTATCTCTCTGGTTTATGAGTGATCCAGCCAGGAGACTATCTGGAAAACGTAAATACTGTGCATACGAGACTGAATCTCCAATCCATATCATACACTGTAATCATAATTACTGTAGCAAGAGACTCATTATTTTTGAGCAGTGGAGGATGTGTCGCTGCGGAACAGGAACATAAACATGCAGCAAATTATGCAAAGGATTTAAATGGTATTGAATGGACTTTGGATCAGACTTCAAAACTAATTGAGAAATATACTGCTGCTGAGAGCAACAAGACAGACAACAGTGAGAGACACTGAAATGGACAGAAAAAAACAAACAGAAAAAAACCAAACCAAACCAGTAAACTGGTGGAAGAGAAATATAAAGTATTTCGTACTAAGGCGACAGCTTGGTGCTCCCCATATACATGCAAGAGGGATGGACTACAAACAGGAGAAACGTATTACAACAATGAGGCTGAAAAAGTCGTAGAAAATAAGATTACAGAAACCTTTTGGGATTTTTCAGTCACTCTTATTGAAACAGAACCCAAAAGAACAGATTTGGCAGTAGAAGAAAAGGAAAAAGAAGTATATTTTCCTGTGAACTTTTATGTGTGGTGAGAATGTTCAGCTAACTGAAAAAAATGTGAAAAATAGGATCACTGACTGCAAATGGGTTCACAAACTGCAAAACCATTTACTGGAAGTGCAGTGGGATTTCCTGTCAGGGATATTAAAATCATACTGTGTAAACTGGGAACTGACGACGCTGGGTATTTCAACAATACTCACCGGCACCTCTAAAATTCTGAGAAAACTCGCAGTATTCCACATTTGTCAGTTCTTCATATAGATTACAACTGCATTGACAAGTGATAATGCTCCCCTACTCCCTATCTCCTGCCAAAATTGACAGCTGTGGAGGGAATGAATAATGATTATGATGATAATGGTGATAAAGAAAGGGATTAATGACCTTGGAGGTGTGTTTTGGAAAACAGGGATGAAGAGAATCTGGAAGATGTGTTGGCATGGATAAGGATAAAACAACTCTAGATACAGCTTCAAGAGGAGGGATCTCCATTGGCATTTTTGT